TAATTCTTGCCGTAAACTGCTTGCCGAAGATGGGACCCCAAAGAGTAGTACTTGATTGAAGAAATCACAGGGCACATTGGGGCCTGATGCTCGCGTTGTCGCGCAATGTCGCTGAGGGCCAATCTTCGCCAAGGAGTAGTCTGGAGTAGAAATCACTGAGTACACGATTCACTCAAACGATTCAGTCACTCGATTCAATTAACTACTAATAATAAACTTAGGGATTATAGGTTAATGTTCGGAAAGCGGTGGATCGCATTCAGAATAACCGTCTGAACGCTGTGGTTGACCCCGGCGTTCACGACCCAAGAAGCGAGGAAAAGCGCAAATTTGAGAAGCGGAAGTGGTGACTTCGAATTAACGGGAATGAAATCCAATACTAGGAGGAGACTGTCAAACGTAAGAATTAACCGTAAGAAATTAGGGCAGCATCGACATCGGTAACGCTCTCTGTGCTGAACGGCTAGAGACTCATACACGAGACGACGCTAAAGGGGGCATACCGGGCCAATAGCGCGCCAATTTGGCCGCGGGGAAGGCTATGCTAGATTGCCGGGGAAATATCCATCGATGCATTGCGTGTCCGCACCCTTGGGAGGTCGGCCTGTCCCTCCCCCTCCCCACTAGGTGAGTTTCTCCTTCTCTGACATTCGTCCTTATCGTGGAATCCTCCTTCAAAGACGTAGTTACTACTTGTTTCGAAGCCAAAATATTGCACACTGTAACCATTACATGATTATGTTACTGCCGATTGTTGCTCAATCATTTGATTATCATCACCAAAAAGCGGCTTTCCTCGCGGGTACTCCCTATTGAAGCTTGGCCACCTCCTCCCACTCCCTCGGAATAAAGGGAAGCCTTGAGGTGGTAGCATCAAAGAGAGTGAAACAAACGGCACGCGAATCCATTTGAGTCATTTTATGATGGCAATGGGACTCCGAATAGGAACACTCTAGAAATGAGACTTACCAAGCACTTGCAGTGGTCGTGCTCCGTTCGAACTACCGATGGAGAGGATTTCTCCCGTGAAAGAGAATTCACAAACGCCGTCGTCAGAAAGATTGACCTTGAATGTGACAATTTTAAAACCGAACCATAAAAGTCGCTCATTTTCAGAGTTCCAACCTGATGTCCGGATATTTTGCTTCTAGACGCCGAAACACCTGCTCGATCAATTTCAAGAAGGTGCCACCGGAATTCATTTGTGCAAATGTGCTCTAAAACGGTTGTTTACTTGCACTTGTTTACTTGCACGAGGCTTAAATGAAACACACTTAAAATGATGAGGAAAGGTTTGATTCTGATTCTGGGTGTAGTTCACTGAGCTGCGGAATAAGGGTTCTTACCCGTAGTATCTTTTTGTGCTTCGGACTGAGGCAGATTTGAGGCGATCTCTTCGGACTGATGTCGTGAGAGGATGTTGCCGATTCCACTGATAGTTGCTGCTCCATTCCATTCCTGAAGCGGAACTCATTAGAAGAACTTCTACTATTGGGCCAATTTCCTTACAAACGTTCATTTTCAATTGGCACATTCGCGTGCAAACCTCCTATTGGGTTTGTAGTGGCGGAGAGGGGGGACGGGGAGGAGGGGAGGGGAGAAGAGGAGCGCATGTGGTGCGACAGTTCATGTCTCCTGAGTAATCCAATCCGCAATGTCATCCAATTCAAGTCCGGTATGGGTGTAAAGGCGAAGGCAAAATCTTTACGCACTGGTGGCCTTACCGGAATTACTGTAGGCGACATTAACTGTCTCACTACATGCCCTCTTGCTTGATGAGACGGGGGATCCGAATGAGGGGCAACCGTCCATTCGCATATTCGAACGAGGGGGTCTTTGTGAGTTCGGGAAAGGGGGGGGTCAAATTGTGGGGTTGAGCGAGGTTAATGAATGTGGAGAAGTGATAATGGAGGTAGAGGGATTGCAGGATCGTATTGGGGGAACCTTCTAAGACTGATGTTGGTGATGGGGAGTCGCAAAATTTTTGAAGAAGTGCGAACGCGACGGTTGACGCTGATCCGAATATGCGTAAGTGTGGTAGTATAAGGTGAGGCACAAATATGACGACAAGATTGAACTTCAAGAAATGCAGTTCCACAACAATGAGCAGAGCTTTTAGATGGATCATCAAATCATCACAGCTTCTAAATATAATACTGTAGCTTCATTGCTTCATATCTCTATTAGGCGAATGG